CTGAAACTCCAATACTTTGGCCACCTGATGCGAAGAGCTGACTCATTGGAAAAGACCCCGATGCTGGGAAAGATTGAGGGCAGGAGGAGAAGGGGATGACAGAGGATGAGATGGTTGAGTGGCATCACCGACTCGATGGACATGGGTTTGGGTGCACTCTGGGAGTTGGTGATGGACAGGGAGGCCTGGAGTGCTGCGGTTCATGGGGTCACAAAGAATCGGACACGACTGAGCGACTGAACTGAACTGAACTGATCCAAGTAAAAATTAAGGTTTGGAGCAATGAGAAATATTTCCTCATTTGTAAAAATCTTACCATTAAATGTGTGTGTGCGTGCTCAGTCATGTCTGACTGTTTTGTGATCCCATGGACTGCAGCTGCCAGGCTCCTCTATCCATGGAATCTTCCAGGCAAGAATGGAAGTGGATTGCTATTTCCTTTTTTAGGGTACCTTCCCAATCTGCTCATGAACCCTTGTCTCTTGAGTCTCCTGCATTGGTGGGCAGGTTCTTTACCGCTAAGTGTAAATATTTATAAATTTATTTCAGGCTTCCTATAGCATTACATCTATTTTACCATAAAAATTGAGGATATATTCTATACACTATTCTGTTTTTCTCCTATCATTGCCATAAAGATATTTTTATAGTTCTGTCTCTAAAATAATTTTTAAATTTTAAATAGCATGGGGGCATCTTTTAGAAATTTTGGAATGGTTAAATAGCATTTATTCTTTCAACAAGTATTTGTTTGACAGAGTCTATTATGTAACTCACACTCTTATAGTAGTGAAGAAGACCAAGTCTCTGTCTTGTGAAGCTTGTATTCTAAATGGAAAGGAAAAAATAAATATGTAATTTTAGGTATAAATAAAAATAGGGTAGGGAAATAATGTGTGTGGGGGGTTAGTTATTTTCGGAGGTTCAGGAAGACCTCTTTGAGAAGGTGACCTTAGCCTGGAAGCCTGAAGGAGTTAGGAGAGGAACCATGTCCTAGGAGGAGAGCATCTTGGCGGAGGGACCCAAGGCCAGAGGCCCCGTGGCAGGTAAATGGAGCAGACACAAAGCCAGTGTGGCTGGAGTAGAGTGGTCCAGGAAAAGGTGGACAGTGAGGTCAGAGACATGGGTTAGGGGCCTGGTCATATAGCACTTCGCTGGCCACGTTAAGAACGTGGATTTAGCCCCAAGGGTGACAGAAGCCACCTGAGGATTTTGAGTGGAAGGATAATATTTTCTGGTTTATATCTTAAGAAGATAACTCTGGCTTCTATTGCCCTGACATGGCCATTGATTTTATTTTGATTTATGTCCTTTAAATGTTATTTTCATTCAAGCACTGCATTTAAACTATTTTAGGAATTGTAGTTCCTTGAGTGGTAGATGTTTCTGAGATATCATCTAACTCGGTCATTTCCTCAGGCTTCCTTCTACTCTCTTGACTAATGATATTTTTTTTGTAGCAGAAAACTCCATTGTAGTGGTATTTGAATATGCCAAGTGAAAAATAAGTATTTTGATTATGTGACTAAACTGACTAAATACTGGTGTAGTGCAGAGTGCAGTTTAATCCATTACCACTTTGTTACACAAGGCCTTGCTTCTTCCCCTTTCTCTTCCGGTGCATTTGTCCTGTTTCTAAGTGAAAGTCTCTCCAGTGTTCTCAGTTAGCTGATTACATACTCTTTAGCTGTCTAAGTATCTTCAACTATTTTCCATTCCTTATAACTTCCCTTTTAATGTTTTTTTAAAAAATATGAGTGAAGTAAAGTACTGGTCAGCCTTTTTCATCATCTTTGAGGTTCCTAAAGTTTATCTTTTTTTAAAGCACAGCCAGAATGTTGTTTTCATGATCTAAACCCATCTTCTTTCAATCTGAAGAAAGAAAGTCTTCTTTCTTTCAATCTGAAGAGCTTTCAGTCTCCATCTGAAGAGCTTTCAGTCTCTATCTGAAGAGCTATCAGTTATAAAAATGACTGATATTATATTTGTGGAAGGAGATAAATTAAGCATGAGGCTAAGGCCAGGGGAACTCAAGATTAATTCAGCTAATGTTTGTGGAGTGCCTACTCTAATACACGTAAAGGGTTTAGAACAGTCCCTGCCTAGCACATAATAAGGGCTCAATAAATATTAGTGCTAAGACTAATTACTTCACTATTGAAAATCAATTATGTTCACTCATTTTCTCTTTGGAATGTCAACATTATGAAATATTTGATTTATAATGGATGTCATTACTGGATACACTGCCTGACTGTGGTCTACAGTGAAGTCAGCTAGCTACACCCATAATTCTAATAGAGTGCTGTGGAAGTTGTCTCTGATGATTCTGGGAGCCCTGAGGCGAGTGTAAGTTTGTGTACAGGACAAGTACAGGGAAAACTAAAGAAGCAAGGTAATATTGGAGTTGACTTTTGAAGCATCAGAGGGAGCTAGCTAGGCAGAAAAGCATCCAGGAAGGTATTCCAGGGAGAGCACGTCTTGTGCAAAGTCTTGGGGTTGTGGATACACATGTCCTGCTTTGGTAGAATTGTGTGAAAGGAACAGAGTGCATAACTGGGACAGTGATTGGTGTAAGATTGAAAGAGGAAGATTTCACATACCAGTGAAGAAGGATGGGCTTTATCTCAGCAACAGTAGTGATTCACTTGAGCGGGAACATAAGGAATCCGATCTATGTTACAAAAGACAAACTGACAGCAGATTTGATTGTGTTGTAGGAGTTTTTATAGGATTGTATTACAGAAGTTGGAGGTACATGTGGAGGTGTTGCAGTAGAGATTTTGATGACTGAACAAGAGAAGTGAGGGTGTGGAAGTAAGGATGGGTAGGATGGTAACGTCTGAGAGGAAGATTGAGAAAGACTACGGAGCTAATTAATTGGATATTTGGAAAGAGAGAAGCATTGACCATAGTAACAATAGCTAAAAATGGTTTGAATGCTTACCACATCCAGTTACTGGTCTAAATGTTTTACACAACTCATTTATAGTCATAACCCTATGTGTGTACTCGTGTGCTAAGTAGCTTTAGTCATGTCCAACTATTTATGACCCTATGAACTGTAGCTCGCCAGACTCCTCTGTCCGTGGGATTCTCCAGGCAAGAATACTGAAGTGGGCTGCCATGCCGTTTCCCGACCCAGAGATAGAACCATGTCTCTTACCTCTCCTGCATTGGCAGGTTGGTTCTTTGCCATTAGCGCCACCCAGGAGCTATTAAATTACCTTTTACAGGCAAGGGAACTGAGGCGTGAAAAACAGCCCCCCCCCCCCCNGGACAGTGATGGAGGGGGCGGCAGCAGCCGTTTTTTTTTTTTTGGCCATGGTGTGAGGGTTGCAGGATCTTAATTCCCCAGCCAGGGACTTAATCTGGGCCACTGCAGTGAAAGTGCCTAAACCCTGGACCATCAGGGAATTCCCAAGAGTACCATGTTTAAATACTACTAGTTTAAATGAAAGTACTATTAATTGAGATGAATAAGAGGGAATGAACACTTGTGGGGAGAAAAAGGAACGATGGGCTTGCTAAAAGTTTCCAGGCTCTTTTCTATGGCATACCGGTTCTAGCCTCCATCCTACCTGATAGCATCCAGCTTCTGACATGGGGAGGAAGATAGTACCTTCTTAATTAAGTAACTATTGGTGATAGGCTGGAGAAAGGACATAATCTTTTCTGTTCCCCAAACTCAGTTTGTAATTATGATACCTATTGTTCAGTGAGTTGCTGATTTTTTTTTTTTATTTGCTGGCAATTTTGCAACTGAGGATATAGGGTGGTTTGTCAATAACAGCATTCTTCCTTTCACAGTACTTTGAATATTCTGCCCAACATGAAATTCGACATAACATCCAGAAGGAATTATGTCTTCATGCTGCTCAAGGTGCTGTTCAGCTGAAGGCATGTGTCTACAAAGGTCACAAAACAGTTGCCGCTGGAGAACAGATATGGGAGATCCAGAAGGTACCTCAGTGCACTTAATTCACCCCTTTATATAATTATTCTGAGTAGCTCTATTGATTATCTGGGAAAATATATGAAACAGTACATTAATGTTATCCATCAGAATTTCTCTGTCTTTGTTAACTTTGTCATTATGTATCTCTACCCTGTGTTAAGAAAGAAAGTATCAATTTAAATACTCTTAGAGCAGAATGATTGTAAAGTATCTTAGAGCATGATTTATGCAGACAACTTTCTATGGATTATTAATAATAGTAGTTCATATTTTTTTTCTGGAGTTTCTTATAATGCTTCTTGTAACAGTCATACTTTTCTTACTTAAACTGATACTTTCCTTCCCTTTTGTACTTTTTCATGAATCTAGAATTGAGGGAATACGTGAAAGGTTTTTTTTTTTTCCCCCTTGTTTTTAAGCATATGTTTTAAAGCTTAGCTGGAAACTTGCAATTCTTACCTGCACATAGATTTTGTGTAATATTAGAACATTTATATAGCACCTTCTTTGAATTGAACATTGGTGGCATAAATTGCGTTGCCTACACCAAAAACCAACAAGATTTTATCAGACATAGTAGATCTTAGAAACATTAAAAGTTAAGAATGGTATATATTTATTCTGTTAAGTCTACCTTAAGCTTCCATGAGACCTTGAAATGTGTTTATATTTCTCAGTTAACTCTGAGTCTTGAAACTTAATGTCTGTTTTATTTCTTTTTATTCTAGGACCAACTTCTGTATAATCCATTCTTTAAAATGTGCCTTTCAGCAAGTGGAGAGCATCCAAGCTTAGTGTCATGCAATCCATCAGACTCACTCCAAAAATGGATTTTTAACCAAAATGATTAAGTGTTCCTTAAAATTAAGGAGTTGAAAAAGGAGATATTCTTTCTCATAAAACTGTGACTAGGCATACACTGTAGTTTTTGAAAATTATGCAAAAGCAGCTAATTGTAACTTATTCCAAGTGCATTTTTTTCTTATTTATATCTTAAAATGTCTATGTAGCACTGCTACAGAAATCCCTTAAGTTTCCATTTCAAAGCACAATAACTAGTAATACCAAAGACTATTTTGAAATGTCCAGATGTAGAGGAAGAGTAGTTTACAGTATGATGAAAATAATTTTTCCAGTAAAGTGATGTTTGTGTGCTTTGTACGCTTGAGAATATGCATAGCTACATTCACACACTCACAATTTAAGATATTTCTTCTAGTTTTTTGGGGAGGAGGGAGAAAGATTTGATACTGTATTTTTTTAACATAGAAATGGATCAATGAAGGTCAAAAGTTGGCCTTTGTGTAAAACCAGGAAATTTTTTATAGACCTAGAATTTATTATATAAAAATGCAGGTAAACATATTTTTTTTTTGCATTTTGTTAACTTATCTGTCAAATGTTTCCTTAAACATGAAATTAAATAAGGAGAAGACTATTTTTAACACTTCAATTTCTTGGCAAATTTTAAAATATTTTTTAGTCTGAAGTCTACTTGATTTAAAACACTGAAGTCTTCTTTAAAAGACTTTTTAAAAAATAACTATACTGTGTGTTTTCCCAAAGAAATAAAAAAAAATCTCTAAGTTGCTCTATGTTAAAAAGGTGTCTTTTTCCTTTATGTTAGTCTTTTCTTCCTACCAAAATTCACTAATCTTGAATGTTTATGAAATTGAGTTTCAGATGCAGAATACTTGACTCATTTAAAGTTAAATTTTGTTTGTTACTGATTCAATTGTAGATTGTCTTTGCAATGAAATTTTTCACCAAAAACCTTATTTCTATCTATGGAAAATACAATAAAACCAATTTTTATCACTATTATAAAGGATTTGATTTCAGTTTATTTATTTTTTGGATAAAATATATAATTGATAATAGGGGAAGTGTGAATTTTGTATACTGAATTTCTAAGCATCAATTGCAGAGTCATCAGATATTCTTAAGGGAAAAAAACTTAATAATAGCAATGGCATAAAAATGAGAAATGGAGAAGATTCTGTGTTAGATATCTAGAAAAATTTTTACTAATTTCTGATAACTTTCCTTGAGTATATGATAACTATTTGGTGTGTGATGCTTATGTGGAAGACTTAACAATTTTTGGTAGTTTTATATATAGGTCCTTCTATTCTTATTGAAGAAGTAAAATATGATTGGCTTCATTTTTAAACCTGGCTTCAGTTGTGCATAGACTTCCCTGGTGGCTCAGACGGTAAAGCGTCTGTCTACAATGCAGGAGACCTGGGTTCGATCCCTGGGTCAGGAAGATTCCCTGGAGAAGGAAACGGCAACCCGCTCCAGTACTCTTGCCTAGAAAATCCCATGCACGGAGGAGCTTGGTGCTGGCTACTGTCCATGGGGTTGCAAAGAGTCGGGCACGACTGAGCGACTTCACTTTCTTTCTTTCAGTTGTGCATAAGAGAATATTTTAAAATTATTAGCCCGCTCTTCTCATTATACTTTGAACTTACATTAAAAAAAAACCCTGCACTCTTTATTACAATACCAACTTTTATTTCAATTCAACTGATAATTTATTGTGGGTTTAACTTTGTGCCAGAAGTTATGGTAGGCATATTGCCTTTAAGCCTAGGTCTTATGCAGCAGAAAGACAGATCATTTTGAAATAGCACAGTGCATGACATTATGATGTTATATGTTATGATGCAAATGACAGCTCACTTTTCATAGTGAATATTTCTTTACTTTAATAAATACTTTAATACTTTAAAAGTATTGAAGTATTACTTTACTTTAAAATATTAGTTTATTTTACTTTAAAATATTTCTTTAATAAGTACTTTAATACTTTTAATACTTTAAAAAGTATGACTTTTTCTAATACGATATGTATTGTGACATATACACTAGAGCCGACACACACGCACTCTTGCTGTTTCTCAATCTGTTAACTCCAGAATAAACATCCAGGAGCACAGACTGCTCTTGGAGCTCATTGTATCTCACAAAACCAAACAAGTCCCCAAAGGGACTTGATAAATTATGAACTTAAGTAAAACACATTAAAAAAAACAAATCTGAGCTCCCTCTGTGTATCAGTCACATATCATCATGTTAAGACCCAACCAAAAATCTATTTAGGTTAATTTTAATATAATTTCATTAAATGCATTCAAAGGGAGAGTCCTTTCTACCTGATTTGGGAGCCTCAGGCTGTTGCTCAAGTGTCATATAATTCATTTCATTAGGAATTTGCCCTTAAGGGAGAGGATAGTATCTTTTAAAATCTAAATTTTGAAACAAGGCTAGCAGAAAATTATTTCTCGAGATTTCTTGTCATCTATCCATGAGATTTGGATGCACCGAAGTGTGAAACTGTGGAACTTTTGCTCAACATGAAACTACCTTGAAAATGATGTAGTGGCTGCAGAAGACCCAGTATGTTTCTCTTTTTTCCAGAGGACTAAACCCGCTCAGGTCAATCTGATGGGTGTAAATTCATAACATGACCATACAATTAACCATAGTAGAAAATAGTGAAAGTGAAAGTGAAGTCGCTCAGTCGTGTCCGTCTCTTCGCCAACCCATGGACTGTAGCCTACCAGGCTTCTCCATTCATGGGATTTTTCCAGGCAAGGGTACTGGAGCAGGTTGCCATTTCCTAATAAGTGGTACACTAAAATTGCCTATTACTACAACTGACGACAATGAAGTTTTAAATTCCTACATTGACAGAGATGTGGCCTTACTCTTGATAGACAATTAAGTTAAATACTATGTAAACCATCAAAATATAAGTACAAAAAGATAGGAGCTACAGTTTTTGAGACAAAGTTGAATGCTTTGCAGAAACTAGAAAAAGTCAAATTATTTTTTAAAAAAACACTGCCAAGTTATGTGTGGATAAGAATTATAAAAGAGAAAACAAAAATTAAATTGCATCACAATTGATCTAAAGAAAGCAAAACAAAATATCCTCAGATGATGCATTTTTAGTGTGGTTATGCAGAAAAGATGTTGCATAATTCTCATAAACTAATTCACATCCTTCTAATGTTTCTTGTATACCACTCTGTTAATTCCTGAATATAATTTTTCATTTATTTCTCTAAGAATATTAATAGATTTAACATTTTGTGTTTACATCTACTGTATTGACAGTTTCCTATGAGCTATATTTTCCCATATTGTTTTGCTTTCTGCGTTTCATAATGGCTACTTTCCTTAAATGTCTGATGCTTCTTTATTGTCTGTTTAACAGGGATCATTGAATACTTACTGGAAAATTCGCCAGTATGGGGAGGGCTTGTTGGCTTTAGTCTTTCCCATTAGATGGCCTTATTGGGGCTCCTGCACTGTGAAACAAAAAGACTGTTTAGATCCCAAGAGAAGCTGCTTCTGGTCACCTTCCTGGAGGGAATAGATGGAAATGTCATTGGGAGAAGAAGGCTGGGGCTATATTTTCAATGCAGGACTCCTGTCCTCAGCTGCGCTTTGAGTTCCCTGGTTCAGAGCTCCTCTCTGTTTTTCACCCTCTCCAGTAAGTGAATATCTAGGCTTCTGCTTGAGTCCAGGAGAGGATCTGGGGGTCTGACTGGCAGATAGACTTCTAGCTAGTCTTCCTCTTTCAACTCCACTTTCTCTAAACCTCACTTCTAGAGGCACCACATACCACCAGCTTCTTTATTAGTATTTCAGTGGTCTCACTGTACAAAATGGATTACTGGTCTGCTCTCTCTCCACTGCTAGCTTTGAATTAATCTTTCTCCATTCGGCTGACCCTTACTATGAACTGGCTTGCATTCCAAACTCCAAAATTTCAGCATCAAAACTCTTCTCTTTCTTTCTATGAATTTTCTCTGTCTTTTTAATGTCATTTTCAAGGGATTTTGGAAGGGACCAAAAGAGAATGAGGATCCAATCTGGTATTCTTAACGAAAAACTTCCATTCATTCTTCAGTGACCTCAGTCCATCTTCTGTCACTAACACCTTCCAAGCTGTCAAATCCAATATCCCCTTTCCTGTCCTCATGTATCTCTGTAACACTTGAGATGATCGACTGAAACCTCATTTTTGACGTTTCTTGAAACTTTTTTGTCTCTGGGCTTCTCTGGCTCCACAAGCTTATATCTGTAGTCCCATTGCTTTTCTCTAAACCAGCATATCTTACATGGACTGAGATGATCTCTTAACTAATGTCCCTGACTTTTTGTCATTCGGACGCAGTCTGTGCTCCTTTCTTGCCTCGTCCATGACCAGGTTTCTCTGGCTCCTGGTGCTTCAGGCATGACAGATGTCTCTTCTGTTTGTCTCAGGTCGAGCTTGATTTTGTCTCAGAGCCTGTGCTTTCATCTGGATGCTCTTCACAGCGATATCTTTTACATACTTCAAGTCTCAGATTAAATAACATGTTTTCAGAAGAGATTACCTTTATAAAGTAACTCAGTCATGACTGCATCACCCTGTTTTTCCATTGTTACATTTATGATTACCTGAAATTTACTGTCTTATTTTATGTGTGAACTTGTCATTTATCTCCACTAAGATGTCAGCTTCATGAGGGCAAGGTAAGAAACAATGAAATTGCATTACATTTTAGGGAATGTGTACATCTTCTATGTGAAACAACTCTGTATTTTTAAAGAATATTTTAAGCACAGAAGGGATGCCAGTCGGGGAAGGGCTATAAACATAAGAATGGAAGATGCAAAGGATTAATGGGCAAAAATAAAAAGAACAACAATCAAAAAAAGATTTTTTTGCTTGGGCCGATGAAAATAGATACAAAATTTTAAAAAATTTTTTGATAGGAAAATTATGGGTCTATATATCATTTCTTCCAAAGATGTTTTAGAGAGAACATAGATTTATTTATTTAAAAATAAAAGTACCAATTCTTATAGCAAATAGTAAATTTATGAAATTCATTAACTGAATAGTGTATATATGTGGAGATTTTAATAGATATAAAACAAGCTCAACAAAATTGATAGTTGATAAATTCACAGTTGATAAGGAAAGGTAAGAAGATGTTTAGCATGTTGCCAAGCTTCTAGAGTGACACAAAATGATGACCGCATCTCACCAAACTTATTCCTTAAGTACATCAGTCACAGACACATACTTCTTTGAACGTTAGCTATGAGAGTATTTTTTTCTGTTTAACAATTTCCTAATTTCAAGATGTTCCTTTAGAATCTCAGCTATCCATTGTGTACATCATTATGCAGATGTCTTAATTTTTTTCCAGTGAATATTTTGAAAATGTCTTCCCTTTTAAAACAACATTGTGAAAAACATTTTTCTTTGAAAGTATGAAAGGAATCCAAGGTGTTTTTAAAAAGGTACTTTTAGTGACTTTTTTTAAAGAAGAAGAAATAATTTCTACTTATTTGTAAAATTTTTGTTATCTGGAAGGAGCATTATTTCATTATTCTGTATTAGAGTGCTTTTATTATTTTATTTTTCCATTGAAGTTCTTAACTCTGGATGATTTTGGTAGAAAAGAAATTTGTTGAAAGGGTACTGAGTAGTTCACAGAATCATTTATAACACTGGAGAAAACTCTAGAAAAATGGGAAGGATAAAGCAAAGCATATAGCTTTGAAGCTAACATTATGCTGCAGAAGGTTGCTGGTGAGAATACTGTTTCTACTGTTACCAAACACCAAACGAATGGTTTGCCCCTCTTAGTCACCTGGCATTGGCATTGCCCACTGCTAACACTCACTACTAAATGACCCTCCTTCTACAGTTGTGAATGAATTCCCGAAGTTACTGCCATAGCTGCTGCTGGGATGAATTCCCATTACCAGTATCCAGTCTGGCTGTGGACTGACTGAGCCTGTTCATGTGCCCTCCCC